TTGTTTGCCATTGTTATCACCTTTTTCCATCCATCTTTCCATCCATCCATCCATCCCTCCCTCTTTTCCCTCGTGGTGCAGGATGTTGTCTCCAGCTTGCAGAGATGAAGTGCCTTGCTAGGAGATACCCAGAGGGACAAAGGAGGTTAAATATATTCCTTGTTGAAGGAAGTCTAAGTGAGGAACCTGCTCCATTCTTTGTCTTGTAATTGTGTCCCTGCATCTGATAAAAGTAAACACAGAGGATTCCTGCCCATCCTCTGCTATTTCTTGTATTACTTTCCTGTTTCCAGCGTTTGGAGGATGAGCTGGAGGAGCCCAAGGTGTTAGAGAAGGACACTCATGGTTCATGTCACTGCTGTTGGTTGTGCTGGTGCAGCTGAGCTGCTTCCACTGTCACCTCAGTGAGGGTTTGAAATTGGTTCCTTTCAGCAACTCGGTGCTGAAGGAGTAAAGCACATTGTGTTCACCCATCTGCTGTTTAAACTCCTTTCTGGCTTTCCCTTGTGTTCCATGTTTAAATTCAGAATGCTCATCCTTCCTTCCAGGCCTTTCCCAATGTACATCCCACCCTCCCACCTTCAGACGATCCGATTCCCCTCTCCCAGAGCTGTCGCAGTCCTGTGGTGCAGAGGAGCTCCAGAGCTGCCCCAAACTGCCCCAAACCAGGAGCTCTTGTTGCTGTGCTCCATCCTCAGGGGATGAAATGCTCCTGAGCTGTGCCAGGTGTCTCTGAGGGTCCAACACCTGACATTCTGATAACTTCTATTCCACAGGGAAGGAAAACTGGGCAGCAAACCCAGACCTCAGTTAGAGACCAACCTTCCTCCTTCAAACTGCAGTGCACTGAGTGATGTTAAGGCAGCTTTTGTCAAGAAAACCCTGATAAAGGAGTGTATTTACCTCAGGCATTTTCTTAGAATCGTGCTCAGACCCTGGAGCAACACAGGCAGCCACAGTTTGGGACCTTGTAGACACAGAAAACTCTCCAAACCCAATTCCTTTTGTGCTTTCCTTGTGCTGGGCATAAGCACATCTCAAACTCTTTCTATATTAATGAGAAGAGACAAGGAAGAAAGGGTGAATTTCCCAATAGCTGCATTATTCCAGAGCTGTTACAGGCAGCTTTCTGTAGCATTTGGAATAATCCAATAAGCATTTCACAGGCTAAAGTTTATCTTTAAAATCAAATAATCCATAAAACAAAGCCTCAGACCCAACAAACCTGTTGTTTGTCCTGACACAGTGAACGGGAACATTTGCATCTGACCCTCGTTGCAAATGGGTTCTTTTCAAAATGGGACTTGTGGGTGGTGGGTTTGGTCTCTGCCATGTGACATATGGACATGCACTGGCCTTGTCTGGCAAGTGTTTGGCACAGACTTTCTCCTTTTTTGTGTTTCCTGAATCGCCGACAGCTTCGTGTGGAAAGTGGGTGTTGGACACCCACAGGTGGAGGGAGAATTCTGAACCAAAAATTGCCTGAACGGCGAAATGTGTGTCATGATTTTTCCCTTCCCGGAGCTGAATCTGCTTAAAACTCAGCAGGATTAGGCAGAGCAGCCCCAACATCCCCAGTGCAGGCAAGCAGAACACTCAGCTGATTCCCTCCCTGATAACCACAATAAATAGAAAGCTTTTTCTTTAGAATTCCTTCCTTTTGTCTAAACCTGTTGTGAACTAATTAATAGGCACAAGTTTCTGTTCCGTTGACTCGAGTGTGTCCATCCCAGAGACAGATTTCATTCTGAAAACCAGAGGCACATCCTAAGTTCATCCTCATGCCCTGGTTCTGCAGCAGAATGACTGCACCAGTAGCTGTTAATTGTGTTTTAATTCAAATGTGTTTGTCACTAGTGCTGAAAAAATCCAGGAGGTTGGTTTTAGTGTTGCTGGGAGCCACAGATAGTCCTGAACACATCTCAAGGTGATGTTTAAGACAGAAGTGGGTCCTTACAAGCTGCTGGCTGTGCTTGTAGGATGTAAGAATGCATTTCCTAGTGGTTTTTCTCTCCTCTCTCATACTGTGGTGAGGACAGAGCTCTTGGCAGATGAAGCACAGGTGATCAAACTGCCAGGCTGAGCCCTGGGTGAAGGCAGTGCTTTATAAATGATGGTCACCTGAAGTTTTTATTCCAGGCACTTTCTTAACTACATTTTCCACCAAGATCCTGGCTCCCAAATCTTTATTCCCTCCTTGCCTTAAGCAGACAGATGGAGTTTGCCTCCTCAGCACAGCCCAGAGAGCAGGAACTGCAGTTCATCTTAGTCTGTGCTCTGATATCATCTCATTTTTTTTTCCTTTTCTCTGAAAGGTCAAATGTTTTTGCTGACATTAAGTGTGTTATGAGGTCAAACAAATGAATGCTCATGAAATGCTTTTGCAGAAAGCTGTGTGCAGCAGATAATTCTGTGTGTGTTCATCTCTCTGTCAGATAAATGCAGCTGTAGGATTTCCTGCTTTACTCATTGTTCTGGGGCAGTGATGCTTGGCAGGCCTGGACAGAGGGGTCAGCAAACTCCAAATTAAAGGATTGCTGTTGTGTTGTTCTGCCTGGGATTCATTTATGTCTCCAGTGGGCTTGAGGGGTCTGTGGGTTCTCCAATTGATCAGGAAAGGAAAGTTTGGCATGACAGTATAGGAGGGAAGAGGTAAAACTCGGTGTATTTAGTGATCCATGGTGCAGTAAAGGAGAGACTGCACCATTTCATTACGGCTCAGTCAGGTCTGAGGTTTAGGCTCAGTCTGGTTTCTCACTCAGGAATCAGGTGAAGTGGTTGCCAGCCCTTGCTCGTGCTTTGCTCCAGATGGTCTGTCCCTGGAATCCGTGTGTCCCAGACAGGGCTCGGTGCCGTGCCTTGGGATCCGATTGCATTTGGCCCCAGAAGGAGCACACTTAGTCTCCTGCTTCCGTGCACTTGGAGGCTCCCAGATTCCAGGTTCTGAGCTCCATCGGGGCTGGGATGTAACACAGCAGCTGCTGAATCAGGGGCTTGGAATTTGGGGATGGTTCTGTTGCCTTGTGACTGTAAAGGTTGGCCCTTGGTTAGTTCAGGAAGGCTGGGAGGTGTTGCTTTTCCTCCCACCTAATCAGCAGAAAATAAGGAAGGATTCTGCCTTGTTTTACATCTGGTTTCTGCCCCGTTGCAAATTTAGGGTGCAGTCCTCAAAGTGCTCCTCACCTTGGAGGGAAACTCAATGCTCTGATGCAAAGCTGACTCAGTTTTGACCAAATCCTGGTGCCCGTGGAGGACTGGGGCAGGATACAGGGGAGGACTGTCTGATTGCTGATTAGAGCCAAAGACAAATCCTGCTGAAATCCAGAGGTGCAGCTGTGGAGCAAACAGTGCCCAGGGAGCCTGCTTGGCAAGGGGGCAGATCAATTCATGGCGAGACCCCCTTTTGAGGGGGTTTAGCTTCTGACAGGCTGGGAAGTGAACCCTTCTGTGTCAGGATGGGCCCTGCAAAGCTGGGGCTGTAACTTTAATTGGAAAAGGTTAATCTGATTAGTTGGTGTTTGCAAAGAGCTTTAAGAATGAAAACTGCTGTGGAAGTGCTGACTGCTATGATCAGGATAGATATGATCTATCAGCAGTTTCATGGATGAGTAAGACTCTTTTTTTTTTCCCATTTGACTGTGAGGGAGCTGCCTCCTGGAGAGCAGGAGAAAAATATTTAGGAAAAAGAAGTAAAAACAGGTGTCCTGTTGTCATACTGGTGTCACACCCCGGTGAGCAGTTGGTTCAGTGGGTCACACTTCCAGAAGCAACTTAAATACTTTGAATCTGCTTTTCCAACCTTGGGAGAAGTGTTGAAGATGGGGGTTTCCATAAACACCACTTTGGTACCCGAGTGCTTTGTCCACTTCAGGAATTGCCACTGCAGGTCAAGTGGAGGGGGGTGATTTCTTGGTTTTCTCATTTTGGGGGCGGGTGGTGGTGGTAGGGGAGTAGTTGGTGTTGTTCCAGTGTTTGATGTGCAAAGTGCAGGCTCAGAAACAGAACAGAATCACATGTTTTATGGAAAGGGAAATCCTCCTGGGAGGAGCAGGCAGAGTTCATGATTAATTTGTAGCAGTGCATGCATGCCATGGATCGGGGAAAGGGACCTTCTTCTTTTAGGCTTCTTCCATCCTCAAAAGAAACATTTGTAGTTTATAGGTGTGGGATCTGAAAAAGAGATTTCTGCCCACACGGAGAGACCCAGCCTTGAGCTGCCTTGCAGGTGCTGTCAGATGATGTTGCACTGTAAAATGGTGTTTCCATCCTGAATAGGGTTTTTAACTGTCTCTTGCTATCAGGAATAGTCTTCAGAGGCTGTGCCTTGCTTTGGCTGCTGTCAGATGTTCAGATAAAAAAAATAAAGTACTAGAGTGCAGTTTATAGAGTGGCTTCAACCTTCAGAGCTTTCGGGGAGTTATGAAGGAGAGTGGAATGCAGGAATCCTCCATTTCCCGTGTGGAAACTAGGGCAGAATGGAGAGGAAAACTGGTTTGGTGACTCGTATGCTTACCTGGTGGCTGAGAAAACCCAGTTTTTTGTGGGCTTCTGGGGTGTCCCATCAGTGAGTGACCCAGGACAGGAGCTGGCAGGGCTGACTCTGGTCCCCACTTTTCCTCTGGCTTTGTCAGGAGCTGGGCCTTGACATGTGCAGTTCCCCAGAGGTCTTTGGGAGACCAGGCTTGATGAAAGTCATCTCAGCACCTCTGTAGTCATTTCCAAAGCCATTAAGTGCTGGAAGAGTGACTGGAGATTGCAGTGCTGGAGTGACAGGGAGATGGCAGATAATGGCAGCAGGGAGAGGTGAGGGCAGACAGCAAGTCACTGCTGAGCTGTGAATAAATATCTGTGCTCCTGATCTAATCCACAGACATCACTCCTGTCTCCTGACTGCTCTGCCTCTTCCCTGCCCTGGACCAAACCCTGAACCATCCCGTGGGCTGGGAGACCGTTGTCACCTCCGTGAGCTGAGCGCGGTGTCTCTTGTTTTCCAAGCGCAGGTTTGTGTGAAGTCCCCTCTCCTGTGCCCGAGTCCGTTCCTCTGAAGCGTCACCAGCGTGTGGAGCCCGCCCCACACACCCATCCCCTGCCAAACCACGGCCTTTACCTGCGTGTTCCGGTGTTTCCCGTGCGACCCGTCCTGCGGGAGTGCCTCCTGGGCCGCCCCAGAGTTCCCCCAGCGCTCCGTGGCTCCAATGGTGAAGATGACAAGGTCCAAGACTTTCCAGGCGTATCTGCCTTCGTGCCACAGGACCTACAGCTGCATCCACTGCCGGGCTCATCTGGCCAACCACGATGAGCTCATTTCCAAGGTATGTTCCCGACCTCGCCCGGGCGGCGGAAGGTGCGTCGGCTCACGCTCCAGGTCACCTGCCATGGAAGGGCCTGGCCTTACCCAGCGCCTCCATTTTCACTTGGAAAGTGGGCCCTCAGCCCAAAGGATCTATTTGTGAGCTGCTGTTCTTGTTTTAAGTGATTGTGGTCCTCAGCATCCTTGTGAGGGGCGGGTGCTGATCTCTTCACCCTGTGACTGTGACAGGACCCGCGGGAACGGCCGGAGCTGAGTCAGGGAGGTTTGGGTTGGATATCAGGAAAAGGTTTTTCACCCAGAGAGTGGTTGGGCACTGGAACAGGCTCCCACAGGGCGGTCAGCAGTCACAGCACCAAACCTGTCTGAGTTCAAGTGTTTGGACAACACTCTCAGGCACATGGTGGGAATCTCGGGGTGTTCTGTGCAGGGGCAGGAGTTGGACTCGATGATCCTGATGGGTCCCTTCCAACTCAGCATATTCTATGATGCTATGACCTTGAAAACAGCAGTGGAGACAGGATTCCAAATCCAGCCCTCTGGAGTGCTTACAGGTGGTCTGACCCTTCCTGTGAGCTCCTCCCTCTCATTTCCAGCTGGGAAACCTCCCTGATGGTCAGGACTGTGGAAGTCACCTTCCCAGTACTTGCTGTTCATGTACACACCCATCAGCAGAGCCAAGGGGTTGTTGCATGGTCGTGATTTGGAGGAGAAGTGTCTGGAGAAGTTGCCTCTGTTAAACTCAGAGCTGTACCAAGAGACAAGACTAAAGGCCCTACTTGAGGGAAGGTTCTCTGATGCCTCTATCAAAATGTGGGGTGGGTTCCAAAGACTCCTGAGCTGGTGCTCAAACCTTCATATTTTTGCCACTCTATTACCAGGACACTTTGCAGTGAAAAAGCAAGGATGGGTGGTGGGCTGTGCTCTGAGCTGGGGAGGGTGCAAAGGTTCTATCCTGTGTTCTCATCTGTTGAGCAGAAGGTGAAGGGTCTTGAGGATAAGATAAATTAAAAGCTTTCAGAGCCGATAAATCAGGGGCATTTGATGCAGAGGGAGCAGGGCAGTAAGAGGATCTCGTTCTGAAGTGTGAAAACTAAACTTCCTCGGAGTGTGTGTTGGAGCCTGCAGTGCCTGGCTGTGGTCAGGCCTCGAGCTTCCAGGATTCGGCTGCCTTGGAATAACTGTTCCGTAAAGTTTATTCAGCTTACAAAATCTGTGTTCAGAAAAAACAGACACAGCAGAAAGATTTATGAGCTGAGGTGACTGGAAATTGGTGCTGTGAGCTCTGTGTGTGCAACTTAAACGGCTCAGCTTCCCCAAGCAGCCTCGGGAGGAAGGCTGGGATCACCAGGGACAGAGGTGCTGTGTCCATTGGGAAAGTGTGCAGTGCTTCCCCTCTTCCTGCTGGCACAGAATAGATTGCAAGGTGTCACCTTGCACCGAGGGCATCTGTCCTTGCAGGGTTGGCACCAGCAGCCGTGGAATCCTGCTGGATTTCCATGGTGGGAGCTCAGACCCGTCACCTCCCATCAGAGTCTGTCTCCTTCCTTTTTTTCTCCTGGCTGTTGCGTGGGCCAGGTTGATGTGTTACCTCTGTGGTGTTGTCTCCGTGCCAGAAACTGGAATTTAAATATTCTGGGATGAATAATGCTGATGGCAGACTGCTCCAGTTTGGGGTTGTGCAGTTTCTGAGCAGACAGGATTCCCATTAGGATGTTGCTCTGGAGCTTCTCGTGTCCTGGTACAACTGCAGTGGTTCTCAGAGCTGTCCTTGAGGGACTGCAAAGCCTTCAAAGAGGAGGAGGTTGTGCATTTCCTCAACAGAAAGGAGTTTTGAAATGTAAATGTAAATTTTGAAATGTAACTGCAGTCTGTGCCCTGGGGGGGAAATACCTTCAGCCTTTTGGGGCAGCTCAGTGACTTCAGGCTCCTGTGCTCGGTGAGTGGGGCAGGAAAACCAGGCAGTGACTCCCCTGCCTGTTCCCTGGGAGAGCTGATCCCCTGGGTTTTATGTTGGGACACAGAAGGTGCTTCGCTGGGTGAAGAAGGAGCTTGTTTTCCTTGCTGCTTTTGCAGCGGATTTGAGTTTGTGCTCTGCTTTTTTCTCTCGAGGTGGCTGGTCCCCAGCCAGGGAAAACACAAGGCTGTGCATTCCCGGTGCTTTCACCTTCGGTGCTTCCTTCCCCTCCTTGTTCCATGTCCGTGCTCCAGTGCAGCCAGCTTTGCAGGCTAAGGAGCTTCCAGCAGGGCAATGCCAGTGCTGCCAACTGCTTGGAATTTTAGCTTCTGTCCTGCAGAAACTGCCCAGAAATGCTGACTGCTAAAATACAGACATGAGGGAAAGTAGGAAAGCACAATATAAGGCTGTGTGTGAATTGTGGAGGTGTTAACTCCAGTGAGCTGTGTGATCTGCTCCTTTTAAAAGTTCCTCTAGATTGAGGTGTAAATTAATAGTTGGGACCACAGTGCTGGTGGAGCACTAGCAAAGGGTTTGGGGGTTTAGGATTTATTTCTCAGGGTTGTAAACGTTAACAAGGCACATCTTTGTATAATTGAAAACCTTATGAAAGTAATTGTGCTGCAACCATGATTTGTACAAGTGGCTGTTCAACAGAACAGTCCCTGCCTTGGGGGAGGGGGGGGTGCTTCCAAAATGTGTAGAAACTTTCCCAGGCAAACTTAAATAGTCGGTGTTTGATCTGTTTGAGTTGGAAACATCTCCCCGAGGCCTTGTGCAGTTCTTTCATCACAGCCTTGTGGCAGCATCAAGAACCAGGCTGTGCAGTTGTCCTGCTTGTTTTCCATAAGAAAATGTGGCAAACGGAAGGAAGGAACAAGTGCCGTGGGGATGGAAAAGGGAGTGGGAGACTCTGCAAACTGGAGTGTTTCTCAGCCTGTGGTGTATCTCATCCTAAAGCTGACTGTCACTTGAATCAAAACAGCCCAAATGACACCATCTTTGGAAACATTCCCCAGAAAACAGGCTTTTATGTAACAGCAGGGCGGTGGGGGTTTGGCTCCGTGGAATTAATTCCTCTGTTCCTTTTGCCCCAAGTTGTGCAGAGCCCACAGGAGAGCTGGGCTGCTCTGCCTGCCCTCAGCTTTCAGCTCCTCTGCATGCACACAGGTTGCAGCCCTGGCTCATGCCCTTGGCTGAAACACAAGCTGGAGCTGAATCCCAGGGTTGTTCTGTGTTAATCCATACTTTATTTCCTCTCCATCTCCCGAGTTTCCCCTCTTAGCCCTTCAGCACCAGTGTTAACTTACTGTGACTTCAAAGTCACAGCCCTGGGTATCTGAAACTCTTTGACAAATATGCCTTGGCAGGGCAGGTTTTGCTTTCTTTTCTACCTAAGGAAAACCTTGTGCCTTGAAAGGGGTAGAAGGTTCCTCAATAAGCCATTGCTATTTAAAGAAAATAATCAATGCTGAGGCTTTTAAGAAAATCCAAAGCTGTTACACGAAGCCCAGCTACCAAAATGTTTCTTACTTGGCCTTTTATCTCCTGCAGCCCCAGGGAGAAAGTGGTTTAGTGGGTCTGATTTGTAACAAGATCTAAATTGTGGGTTGGACCGTCTGGCCAAGAAAGGCCTTATTGACTCAGGAAATAGGAAGGTGATCAGATAGATTGGGTGGAGCTGAGTAACTACTTTTCCTTTGGTGTCTGGGCTAGCATGACTGGAGGTTCTTGTTCCCTTGCAGCAATGCATCATTTAAAAGGCTGTGCCAAATTTAGTACATGCTCTTGTTTCACTGATTTTTCCAATGCCTGAGTGGACTGAGACTTTAGGAACTCAACAGATTCCTGTGTGACCTCGAGTAAGTCACTGGGTGTCTTTGTTCCTCCTCTCCCCACCTGTACAGTTGGAATGCTGCTGTTTTGTCCAGTCTGCTTGGAAGATAAAGCTCTGGAGCAGGTCCTGTCTGCTCTTCCAGGTTGGTACAGTGTGTCCCAATCCTCCTCCGTGGATTTGCTGTAAAAACAAAGATACCGTGCCAGGGGACTGTACTTAAAAAGCACGTTTCAGTGTCTTCCAAATTGCCAAAAATTAAGTGAAAGGCACTTCTTGTTACGTCTGTCCTTCCCAGGCACAACATCCCGTGGCTTGGAGAATGTTTAAGAAAAATATAAATTCCACAATCAATGGTGGCAAAACCTCTCCAGAAAGGAGACAGAGGGGCTTTTCTTGAGAAATGTGCCTTCTGCATCATTTTCTGGTGGGGCCTGGAGGAACAGTTAACAAAACAGACATTCAGCAAGGCAAAGAGCACCTTTTCCTTCCCAAAATGGCAGATGAGATGCTGTTTCCTGCTTATTCTGTGTTATTCAAACTTTGTCAGCCCTTTTTCTGTTCGGTTCCATGTGTAATTGGTGCCCAGTAAAAAAAAAAAGGATGGGAACAAGAGCAGAAAGATGCAAAGGCCAGAATTGCCACATCAGTGTCTTGGTTGCTGATTTTCTCTTGCCATGTGAACAGTAATTCAGCAGAAACGTCCCTGCTCGTGGAAATATGTGCAGAATGTCTTGTGGGCGTCCTGCAGTTTCTTTTTTTTCCCTGCCTTTCTGTGATCCAACTGCTAAACATTATGCAGTGATGTATCTTCTGAAGTTGCCTAAAGGCTTGTGAGGAGGTTTAGTGTTTCCCTTTGATGTCTCTGCTGAACAGGAATGTGCAATTCCTCAACACAAAGGGAGCTCCTCCAGCACTGAGAATTTAGGGAAAATACAGGACTCCTGTGTGCCTGACTTTCTCAGATGGGGTTGCGTTGTTCATGAGGGAGCACTTAGAAGCTCTTTTTGATCTTCTCAGTCAGGAGTTGAAAGGTTTATCAGCAAAACTCACTCCCAGTCGTGGCCTGGTTCCTTCCCAGCCTGCAGGCTGCTGGAGCCTCCGACAGCCCCTCAGTGAGATTTAGGGCACTCTGAAAACATCACACTTTGCTCCATGTTGCAACTGGGGGATCTTTAAAAGGATCTGAAGCTTTGGTGCAACGTCCAGATGA